GTCGCAGTACTATCACCGCTTCAAGAAGCTTCCACTACCACAGGAGAACAGTAGAAGTAAGTTGGATTAGAGTAGGATGAAATTGTCGTTTCAGTGGCTTCACTCCATGTTTATTTTCCCCGCATTTGATTGCTGTATTATGTGTGAAAGATTGGCATTATATGTCATATTGTGCTTGTAAAAAATTCACAGGTTATTCCAGAATATATAGTGAATATCTTTGATTCAGGAAAAGAAAAGAAAAAAATAAGATTAGGGAAAAAGCTGGAAAGAAAGTAAAAAGAAATATACAAGCATTATTTATTAATTCATTGTTATTTTTTTAAGTACCAAGGATCCTCCTTTTTAATTTTTTAAAGGTGAATGTTGACATTAATTCTGCATTGATCATTTCAGGAGTTCCCTCGATGGGCAGCGATGTGCCCCTTGTGGACCTCATTGACAAGCTGGGCTTGGAAGTGCAGTCACAGCATAGCAAAAATCCTAATGTACTAGTCTTAGCGGCACAGTGCTGTAGAGCCATGGCAGGTATGTTTGCGATTGTTATTTTCTTTTTTGATTGGAATGGCATTATGGTTAAGAGGATTGACTCTTTTTCAATTACAAGGCTTTAAAGGGTATATATTTTTCTTGCTGAAGATGATGATTTGGGATGTTGGATTTTGGATGTTTCATATCATGAAGATGTACCTATAAAGTACCTATAATTAAATTAAGTTCAGTCTACAGCTTTTGCTATAATCCAACTGCAACACATTTCCAAGATGGAACTTGAAATTACATCAGTTGTATTTATTTATATTTATATCTTGAGAATTTTCCTCAATATTCTTTCTTCCTTATAGGGCTTCGTTTTACCTCATGCAAGAGTGGAAAAGACCGCACGGGAATGAGTGTGACTCTCGAGCAAGCAAACATTTTGGCAGCAGAGTACGATTTATCGGAGACAGAGTTCCAGAGAGCGCTTAATTGTATGAGAAGGTAAGTTGGTTATTTGAGTCAGATCTTTCTTTTCATACTTCTACTTTTAGTATATCTTTGCTGATTTCTCTTTCTCCACTTCCATCCCTGCTTCTCCTTTTACTATTTTTGTTTTCATTTTCTCTTCGTATTTTTCCTCCTTCACCTTTTCCCTCCCCCTCCTCCCCATCACCCTCTCTCCCTCTCCCTCTCCCTCTCCCTCTCCCTCTCCCTCTCCCTCTCCCTCTCCCTCTCTCCCTCTCCCTCTCCCTCTCCCTCCCCTCCCTCCCTCTCCCTCCCTCTCCTCTCCCCTCTCCCTCCCTCCCCTCCCTCCCCTCCCTCCCCTCCCCTCCCCCCCTCCCCTCCCCCCTCCCCCTCATACCCCTCCCTCCCCTCCTCCCCCTCCCCCTCCCTCTCCCTCTCCCTCTCCATCATTTTCTCAGTCTCTGCTCTTAACCCCCATTCTCTCATGCTTTCTTTTTTCCCACCTACTATCTCATTCTCTCCCCCTACTGTTTCTCCCTATAATAATCTTGCTTTTATTTTCCTCATTCTTATTTTGCTCCCTTTTCTAATTCTCTCATTCTCTCATTTGCAGTGAAGGGACACGGCTGGAGAACTGCCAAAAGAGCATTGGGGCACGCAAGTATGCCTTTTCGACAGTGCAGCTCAAGATGTTCCCCCGCCAGTACCAGCCTCCTCCTGGGACGTATGGATCGGCACAGACATAGAGAAAGAGAGGCAGATGGTTGAAATTCGATAAAGAATGAGAATGGTTTGACTCGACAAGAAATAGGAAGATAGGGGTAAAAGAAATTTAAGATGCTATGTGATTTCATGAGAAAGACATAGATGGCAAGTACATTGATTTAGATGTGGTGAATATAAGAAAAAAATAGATCAGTAAAGACATGAGGCCGGCTTGTTTTGGTGAATATATAGACATACAGACAGAGAAACAGGGAGAGACTGAATAAGAGTATGGTGAGGAAAGTATATTGAGAAAAATATATAATGCTTGATTTTTTTACGTGGACTTGTTGCGTCGGGAATTTTCTGGTGTTGATGAAATATCACAATCTTGTGGATTAAATTATTAGACTTTATTTTTCTCTTGGGGGAGCTGGTCTTAGACGAAACAATTGTTGTGGGATATAAGCTCAATAGTCTAGTATATAGATATAAATGACTTGTAATTCATTTTGGAAATTATATTACTATTATTATTATTTTCATCATTATTTTAATATTATTGATATCAATACTGTTGTTATTGTCATTATTGTTGTTGTTTTTATTATTATTAACACAAATGTTTTTCATATTTTTTTCTTTTTCTTCTCTCTTGAATTGTACAGAACAAAGCAATTCAGGAGTTTTATTTGTCTTCGGATTTGCTCATGAATGCCATTATTCACATGATGTTTGTCTGTAAATGAGTAGGTGAGTGAGTAGGTGAGTGAGTAGGTGAGTGAGTAGGTGAGTGAGTAGGTGAGTGAGTAGGTGAGTGAGTAGGTGAGTGAGTAGGTGAGTGAGTTGAGGTGAGTAGTGTGAGTGAGTTAGTGAGTAGAGTAGTGAGTGAGTGAGTGAGTGAGTAGGTGAGTGAGTAGGTGAGTGAGTGAGTGAGTGAGTAGGTGAGTGAGTAGGTGAGTGATAGTGAGTGAGTGAGGTGAGTGAGTGAGTGAGTGAGTGAGATGTGAGTGAGTGAGTGAGTAAGAGTGAGTGAGTTGTGAGTGAGTGGTGAGTGAGTGAGTGAGTGAGTGAGTGAGTGAGAGTGAGTGAAGTGAGTGAGTGAGAGTGTGAGTGAGTGAGTGAGTGAGTGAGTGAGTGAGTGAGTGAGTGAGTGAGTGAGTGAGAGAGAGAGAGAGAGAGAGAGAGAGAGAGAGAGAGAGAGAGAGAGAGAGAGAGAGAGAGAGAGAGAGAGAGAGAGTTAGTTTATATATTCTTTTGTGATATACAGATTGTTTGATATGTCTGATATGTAATTATTACTTCATATGGGTTATAAGAATGAAAGTTTTTGACATTTAACATTTCCGTTAGCAGTTTAGTTTCAGTGTTATTGATGATTGATAGAGGGGAAATAAGAACATATATTATTATGACCTCATTTTTAAGCTGTAATGTCGTGTATATATTTTTACGGATCTATCATGAGTTTGCCCTGTAGCAAAAGTTTTCATGATCTTCACTATAAAATCAAGTAAAGCATAAAACATATTGAAAATTACCTATTGATAAATTTCTTCCAGATATGCATTGCTGGTGTGTGCATGACTGTATATTTTTTATTATTTTTTTTTCTTTTTGGGCCATTTTTTGTCAGAACATTCCTTTTTCTTGTTTGTAGGTAAATGATATTTGACTAGTGTATAATTAATGGGAAATCCAGCATATGATGTTGGATATGTTGAATTGGAAAAACGTTATTTTTTAACCTTGAGGCGTAAAATTTTTAGCTTAAGATTACAAGAGTTGAAACAGTAGAGGGAAAGTGGTTTTGGTATAAGATGTTTTGAATTAATTATCATACAAACTGCCTGTATTAGATAGAATATACAACTTTACAAGTAATATATTGTTGCATAGAAATGGAAAGCATCTTGCAATGTATTGGTAGTTGTGAAAGAACTGGTGATATATGATTTAATGATTATGATAGTACCATTATTTTTTTCTATAATATGAGTAGGGTATTTACAGGCTTTATATCTATTTGATTGAAGTATATGGACTGCAAGAGTGAGTGTTTGGTAATGCATATATGGACTTTTTATTGCACCGACTAACTATTGTTATGATTATAAAGGCAATGCCATATTTTATTGGGAAATATACTGGTCAATAGATATTTGATGAGGGTATAGCAAGGATATATATATTTTTTTCTTTCTTTCTTTTTTACATGTATTGCCTCCCATCACAGAATAAATGGAAGGAAATAACCAAGGAATGGAAATGACACTTCAGGAGAGTCGTCATAGACTAAGACATTACAATCTGATGAGTCCTTTCATCCTGCGAAACTGCTCTCTTCGCTTATTGGACGTTGAAGGTGTCGTTTCTCTTCTCTCATCCATATGTAGATTAGAAAGTTTTAAGTCTCCACTTCCCTCTGTGTAATTAGGACTTCTTTTTATATATCTCTGCTTTTATTTGTTTATTATTTTATGTCTGTCCTTAATGTTTTTTTTTTTCCTTTCTTTCTTTTTTTCATTATTTGCTGTTTCCCATTATTTTTTATTTTATTTATTTATTTATTTATTTTTTCCCTTATGCCATCCTTCTTTCTTCATGTGCCAAGTTTAGTATTGGGCTGTTTAGATATTTACTCCTGTTACAGGCTCAAACAGTTAACAGAACTGAACAAATTTTAATTGTGCAATGAGATAATTTGCAATATGTTTTAATTGATTTGTTTCATTTATTTATCTATTTATCCTTTTTTTTAATCTATTTATTTTATTGATATATCTATTTGATCTGTTCATCTTTATTGATTTTTTTTTTGACAGAGCAGTCTATGACAAGTACTTAGGATTTTAGCCAATAGAAAGTGTCATTTCATTGGCTAGTTGCCAAGGTAATGATTGGCAGAAAGTAATGCATTTTACCTTTATGATTATTAGTGGAATCTAAATGTAAAATAAAGTAATCCAGGAATTTCTTAAAATAGTAAAATGAAGTGGCAGGGGATGATATGCTCTTGTGATAAATATTTGTGCCATCATTCATTTTCAAGTCACTGAAGTGGAGGCTACCTGTGTCTGAAAATTTATCCATGGTTGTTGTGTGATGGGAGCTTATGTCTTTGATGTACTTAAGGACTGCAGGCGTGAAATGTACGTGCAAGGGGATTGTTGAGTGGATTGTTGCTTAAATGTCAGGAAGGTTATGGGTGAGGAAATATTCTTTGCAGGAGTGAGGCTGTTTCGTTGGAGTCGAAGGGGAAGGTGGAAGGAAAAGGGTGTACTTGTTTTATTCCTGAAAGCATTTGCAAGGAGAGGTTTTGGTTCATGGATGTAAAATTGAGGCGAATGTTTGTATCTGAACTTTATGTCAGTTTGATTTAGAAACTGTCTACCTCTGCAGATTTGTATTGAAAAAGATGATTATTCATTCAGACAATGCAATGCTTTGCTCTTCACAACAAGAATTTATTTCTTAATGCACCATTCTGTTTTATGATTCAGACAGTATTGTGTGAATCGGGTGACTAAAAAGGTGTTTCTTTTTGCCATTCATTCTTGAAATCACAGTAACAGTATTCCATAAAAAGAACCCTCTCTGCTGCTGTTTTGAGGCTGGTAGAATCTGATGCGAGTTCAGTATCAGGGGAACGAAGTTACTTGTTAGGCACCACAAGTAACATATAAATCCAATGAGCTCAAGGTTTAAACTTTGTATTATAAGTAAGTGCTGCAGAATGTACACTATGTATAGAGACTTCTAGCATTACCAGAAGTAAACACTGCTACTCTAGTATTATCACATATTTCTACTGATTGATACAGAGTACACACCTATCAATGCAAATTTTAAGAAATGTAGTTTTTAAGAAATTGTTGTTCAAGTTTTTAAAAGTTTGATGAGAGTTTTTCCATTTGTAGTTAATGTCATCAAGCTTGTCTCTTCCTGAATTATGCTACTGACAAATCCAGTCAATTAGTAATTTATCCATTAGAAGCCAAAGTTATTAATCCAATTAATATGACATAGTTGCTGTGCCATGCCACACAAAAAAGTTTTTGCACTGTGACAACACAACACTCATGCACAAATACTTAGACTGTGTGTGGTATATATATATATATATATATATATATATTATATATATATATATATATATATATATATATATATATATATATATATATATATATATATATATATATATATATATATATATAAATCTTTGTATATATTCACACACTGATATGCTGCCAGTTTCATGAGTATCCTTTGGCAAGGTGATTTAGCTTTAAATTCAATGGGAAAGTGCCTCGTGTAGTTCTGGAATAAGGAGCAACGTCTCTCCAAAGACATTCTACTTAATGTCTTGGTAGCTACAGTATAAGACTCTTTGTGTGTAGTATTCAATTTCTCTCTTTCTTTAAATTGTCGCTGTAATTCTTGTGATCAGTACTATTATAGTAATTGGCAATTTTATCAGAGCCAAAAGTGAGTGTTGATCTTCGTTGGTTCTATGAACTTTTGTTAGTGTTGGGAGTTAAACCCACTAGATAGCTATTCATTGTTTCATCTGTAGCTGTACTGCTCTGTGGTCAGAGATTCATATCATTAGCATAGACTGTAATAAAAACAATTTAGTTAAAAGATTTACCAATTTACAGACTTGAAGCAAGTGACTCTATCAAGAGACACAGATATGTTTCATATTCCAGAATTGGGCACATATGAGGTCTGTAGGGTTGGCTGAACTTCTCTGGCAAGAGTTCATGGTAGTCACGACTCAAGGCAGTAAACATATTTAAAAGTTTACAAATATTTTCTATGACCACAGGATTCAGGGTACACTTAGTGCAGACAAGGAGCTAAGAGAACCATCTGCAGTAACCTTGTCCTTGTTCCCCTTCTATCACGAATGAAACACGAAAAGAGTATTGCTGTTTTTTGGGGGGCTGTATTGAAGTGACGTGAAGAAACCATTTTCCCAGGAATACTTTGTGCACTTTGTTCTCTGGCAAGAAGAGGCAAGCATCATACTTTTGTACTAAGAAGTATTTGATCGATGGGAAAGAAAGTCAGTGTTATGTGACTGTTGGGATATGTGAACTTTAGGTTAAGCCAATTTTTACAGGTGGTGTAGTCTTTGAATTTTTTTATATACCTTTAGAGAAAAGTGCAGATCAATAAACATGTGAATATTCAATTGCTTGTACTTTAGGTTGATGTAGTAGATCAGACGTGCATCTTTTCGTATAAAAAAAGTTGAGAAAAAAACAAGTTTGGTAAGTTTTATCTCTTGTGTCATTTAATGTTTTATATAGCATTTAGCCTCTTCAAATGCTAAAGCTTTGTAATGATAACTATGTATAATGCATTTGGAAATGAGCCAGTAGGTTTTTTTATTATTAATAATTATCATTATTATTTACTCATAGTGTATGTAATTTTTAACATGTCAGAAAAAGAGAATTTCAAGATTCTTTGACCAGGACTCTTCTACCTGATTTTTCTTTTCTTTTTTTCTTTTTTTGTTCTTTCTTTAACTAAAGTTGAAGGCTGGGATTATATCTTGCCTTCACACAGACAACTTCCAAATTTTTACAATAGATTTATGCAGTGTTGAGTGACATTTTTGGAAATGCCTTTGTTCTTTATTGATTTTTTAAGAGTGAGTTTGACATTATTTTTTGGAAAAATAACTTTTAAAACTACTTAAAGAAGACACTGGTACAAGATGTAGAATGAGTAAAAGTTGACGTTGCTGTTATTAAAAACATTTCAGACTGCTTATCTCTCTATACAAAGAACGAATGAATGTGATTTATCTTTTGCTCTGTTCATATTTTGAAA